TAATACTCTCAATATTATAAATCTAGTTAACTATTTAGGTACTTGAATTCGGGTTCAAACCATATTATTTGAGCACTTGATTAAACTTGCTAAACTTCTATTTAAGATAATTCCAAAGATAAAAAAAAATGCATGAACTATCGAAAAGTAACTCAAATAATTTTTAATTTTTAATTTTTAAAATTAATTTAAATAATTTAGATAAATACGAATACTTACAAAAGACAAAAAAAAAATTTAATACATTAGCATCTCTACATACGACAAAACTTCTAATCGAAAGGTCTGAGTTAGGTGAACCTCCTCTAAAAGTACATGCCGAAGCTAATGCTTCCTCCAATCTGTGGCCTTTTCCATTACCTACCACCATCTTTTGCTTTCAGCATCGGCCACGGATCATCTCCACTCGTGCTTGTTTCTAATTATCAATTACAATACACTATTCCAAGAATCCTGATGGATCAAATCACCACTGTTGGATGCCAATTTTGCGATCACGAGTGAGTTTTGAACGGTGTTCCTAAGTAAATGACATTCATGATTCGAAAAATCTTTATACCGTAGCGAAGGTATCATAATGACTCGATCCAATCTTGAATACCCAAAGTCATTTACGCAAATGCTTGGATAGTAGAAGTAGGCATCTGGTCAGGTTGGGTTCGAGCCTCGTCTTCTGAGTATGGTCTTCTCCCTTATCGAGTTGTCTGTTTCTTCATCGTCGAGTTCATGCACACAGACCAAAGTTGGATGGGGGATTTCCCGACTTGATCCCTCCGAAGTTTAAGTTAGTGTCGAGTGGAGTTAGGGGGAGTTAAGTACTCGAAGTCCTTCCCCTTTAACATTGGTTAAATGGTCGATTTTTATACCTACAAACGAAGATCATTCGTACATGGTCTGTTAATGGTTGCCGAATTTACGATACGTGGCGTTGACTTATACGACGCCAAACAATATGAGAGGTCCCATTCAGATTTGAGGTGTCGCATCGTGTCAGTTTGGAGCTCTTTTATTGACATTATCATAGTCGTTAATCGTTACCACGTTGACGGTGCTGGAATATGCCGTATCAATTCATTTATAATAAGCAAACATCATTTACGTACTTGATTTTGTTGCAAGTATGCCGTAGCCTTCTTATTTTTTTTCACTACCTTTTATTTTTTCTCTCACTTCTCTTATTCGTCATTTATGTGCACAACAAAAAAAAAGGGAATATGACAAGAATTTACGGTCTCATACTCTTTATGTAGTATTTCTTTTATGTTTCTTAGTTTTAAAATTTTAATTGAAATATATGAGGTAATTAATTGTCTATCATTCCACTAAAATATATATTTTTATATATCAGCATGTAGCACGAATCTCCAAATCCAATAACGAAGATGACTCTCGTTATTAAATCTTCTTCTATGAGAGAAGTCAATAAAAAGAAAGAAAATGTTGTTCCCTTCGATAAACAATGAGCTTACTAAGCTTTGTCGCTTGTAGTTTTTTCTTTCTTTTTTCTTCTGACATCATCAACATTATTTTAGTCAATATGTTTATGTATAACTTAAGGTAATAAATATTTAAATATAGATACCATCTTATTTTAAAAGTCTCTCTTTGGATTTTATTTTTCTAATTGGTTGGAGCAATATCCATAGGCTTATAATGTTTTTGATGTCTCCATCAAGATGAAGACAACATAAGTTTATCAAAAGAATAAAGGACTCAAGACCTAATAAAAATCAACTCATCTAGAAAAAAATTATATGATATTGAATAGGTATCTTTAGTGGTTTAGAAAAAACGGACGATATTTTTATTGACAACCCTCCTTACTATTTATAATTTTTATTTTAAAAATCTTTAATATTTTGAATATATTTATTTACAAATAAATATAAATATATTTTTTCTTCTATTCTCTTTTCTTCTTCTTCTTTTTATGTAACGAGCAACAAGTAATGTATAAACAATATCGAACTGACGTTGAGCGAGGTCTTTATTCATCTTCATCGAGTGTTAGAAGACGAGGGAAGAGAAAGGAGTGACAAATAACATCAAACTGACATTAAATGATGCTCTTATTCATTTATAAATAATATAAAGTATTATATTAAAAAATTATATGATATTGAATATATATCTTTAGTGGTTTAGAAAAAACGGGTGATATTTTTATTGACAACCGTCCTTACTATTTATAATTTTTATTTTAAAAATCTTTAATATTTTAAATATATTTATTTACAAATAAATATAAATGTATTTTTTCTTCTATTCTCTTTTCTTCTTCTTCTTTTTATGCAACGAGCAACAAGTAATGTATAAACAATATCGAACTGACGTTGAGCGATGTCTTTATTCATCTTCATCGAGTGTTAGAAGACCAGAGAAGAGAAAGGAGTGACAAATAACATCAAACTGACATTAAATGATGCTCTTATTCATCAAGTGTTATAAGTCAGAGGGAAGAGGAAGAAGGAAACGGAGATGAGGTGAGGGGAGCATCACAGTGAGGTAGAGGGGGAGTAGATGGATAAGATTGATAATTAAGAGATTATAAATAGTAAAATAATATTTTTATCTAACAAACTCCTCAAAATAATATAAAGCATATTGAAAGATGAATCAGATTACCATTTCTCAAAATATTATAAAATTCAAAGATGATTCATCAATGAACATTTCAACTATTATAACAAATGAGAATCACCCTTTGAAAAATATAAAAAATGACATCTCCCAAAAAATATCTCTGAGAATTTATTAATCATCAAACTACTATATATAATATTTATTTTTTAAAAAATTTTGTTGGAAGGAAAAAAAAAATTTTATTACGATGAAGAAAAAAATTAATAAAATAACATCAAAATGGTAAATACATTAAATTATATAATATAAAAAATTCCAAGGTAATAAATAAGAATTCCTATAAATCCGGATCGAAATGGACCGAATCAAAATGTTGGGCTCGGCCGAACCCAATCTCATCACGACCCAAAATATCTCCCACAATCGAACCCTAACATCCAAAGAAATTTGTGTGGCTCCGCTTCAAACCCCATCCCCGATCCCTCATCTCCACAACAGCTCGGCCTCGTTGTTTCCCCTCGCCACCCGCGACCGCGGCGACGACTTCCTTCCCGCTGCCATCGCGCCATCGGATATAGTATCCTTCCTCCTCCTCTTCTTTTTTGTTGTCCTTTTGTGTACTCGAGGAATTTGGATCGCTGAGATTAGAGTTTGCAGCTGAGGGTGCTCCTTTTGACGTGTACTTTGCATGAGGCTGTGTCGGATCAAGAAACGACCAAGTCTTGATTTTTGCTCGAGTACTTCTCTCGGGCTATTTGTTATGTGCTGTTGATAATTTTGTCTTGATAGGGATTATTAGATCGGTCTGCTTATTTCGATTCCGATGTCGATTGTTCTTCAAAGTTCTTCTCTTTGGAGCAGTTCTTTTACTCTTGGTTATGGCCTAATTAAGGTTTTAGTTAATTTGTAGTTGATTTGGGAGCTCTAAAGAGGGAAAATAACATAACCAGGTTTTTTTCCCCCTAATTGTGCTGGTTGCTTTATTTATGAGAGTAAAAAACCCTAGAAAAACTTAAATACCTAGAGAAATGTTGGATGTCTAAGAGGGAATTAAAAGAAAATCTACGAAGCAGTTTTATTAATCTTTTTTGATACTTGGTTATATTAGGTGAGGTATATTCCCTTATGCCTACGATTAGGTGTTTGTCGAATTTGATTTTGTAGACGACTTTTATGAATTTTAGCTCGGCCACTTATCCTTATATTATGTCACCGCTTTTCGATTTTTAGTATCCTGATTTTTCTCCTCTTATTCTATCATTTAATTCCTACATCATTCTCTATAAATGAACAAAACTGGTGTGCCCTTTGAATTTCTATTTAATGGTAAACTACTTATAGTGAAGCCCAAACATAAATTCTTACATTGATATAATAAACTATTAGATAATCTCACAGAAACATAACTTCTTGCTTTCATCTTCAATCCATCCACCTTGATACTTCATTAAAAGCCCCAAATAATCCAACTTGTCCCACCGATATGTTAGATGCCTACTCCATTTCTCAATCCACACAATACCTTGACCCGAACCACCTAATTTTTCATCATCATGTTTCATATCAATAATGCGATGTTCTGGAGAATAAATATGTATCTATTGATTCTTGAGAATGCCAACAAACTTCTAGTAAGACATTACATGAAGATGTTTTGGTTTATTAAAGTCCAAGTCATTGAGATTTCCATTGACTTACTGCTACCTTCACCTCTCACAGCAACAGAAGCAGAGGGCGAGCTTCATCTTTAACGTAGAAAATCAATAATGATGCTAGTGCTCAAGGCAATCATGGAAATATGGTGGATGGAGTAAGCACAGAGCAGACAATATAGGCTAGCAGTGGTTTGGTGTTATTGTTCGAGGGTGAAGTTTGAGGACAGAGTAAAATGGTATCGTTATGTTTAGTTGCTTTTAGTAATCGAGTCCTTAAAAGATCATTTCAGGAATATGAACCATCATCAAAAGGCGAGTTCTGTTGCAATTTTTAGGTGTTCGTACATTGCGTTGGAATTTCATTTAGGTAGTGTTTCTTTTTTTTTTGGGAATCGGTAATGCAGATTTCATATCCAAAAATCCTTAAATCTGCTGTATGTCATGATTATTTTGTTTCTGGGTGGTTAATCCTTCCTAAACCAAGAGATGTATATCTGTTTGGACCTGGGGACTGGGGATTGCTACCCAATCCTGGTTCACATCATTTTTATCTTATTTGCCTTATTTTTTGGGGTCTGGAGGGAAGGGCGTTCGGGTGTTGGGATTTAGGCAGCAACAAGTGGACATAAAGAGGAGAGAAAATGTGCATATAACAGTTGAAAAAGAAAACATTAAGTGTCTCTACTTATAATGAATAATTGTAGCTTTCATATCTATCATTACATACCTATTTGAAGAGAGAGATAAAAACTTATTATATGGCATGTGCCTTCTTTTTTAATGTTTCTGATTTGAGTGCATAAGCATAGGATAGAGGCAGCTGACTTGCCATGACAAGCTTGATTTTCTTTATTTTTTGATCTAGAATTTTCTGAAAACACAGGAACCAAAATCTGATTAATTTGGATGGTTGTAGATTGTAATTTGGATCAAAGCATAGAATTGTTTGATTTAGCTTGTTGGTGTTTTTAATTATGCTTAGTTAAACTATCTACAATTTGGTTTCTTTTATACATTAGTTAGTGATATATCCCTTAAACGCCCTGGAACCATCATAATTTCCCTCGTTTGGAGTACATATGGAGGTTTCTTGTCTAGTTTCTTTTATGTATAACCCCAAAAGAATAGGTGTTTGTAATTTGTTTTTGCTTTTTTAACGGTTATATAGCTCACTCCAACATCTCAAGGGTTAAGTATGAAATTTCCATTATTATGCAGGAAATGAAGCGATATTTCACTTGTACACTTACTCATACATAATATATATGCATATATGCATATATGCATACATGTACTTCATACATACACACATACATATGCACGTATACAACCTCCCACAAATTCTGCAGTACACTGCATTTACTTTTTATATGCAAGGATTTTATAGTCCTTTTTTATCAAATGCATGGATAAAGATTCTTGTCATGTTCCATCTCTCACGTCTAGGAGCAGTTTGTTTTTGCGCTAACACCATATGTTTTTCTTGGTCCAGTTGAGCAATATGAGTTCTCTTTGTCCATTTGCTAAAGGCGCTTCAGTTGGTGGTGCCTGTCCAATGAAATCTGTGAATAATGAAAAACAGCAGGCGGAAAATGAAAACAAGGGTGACGAAGAAAGCAATCCTTCTGATACAGTATCTCCTAAGTGTCCCTATGGCTTCGATTCCCATACTTTTAAACTGGGACCTCTGAGCTGCATGATTTGCCAAAGCTTGCTTTATCAAAGTAGCAAGTGTATCCCCTGCTCCCACAAATTTTGCAGGTGAGTGGTGGATACAGGTGAGAAATTTCATGTGCTTTACTCATTGAAGGATTTTATGGTTTCTTACTTTCTGACCAACTTACAGAGTATGCATATCCCGCTTTAAGGATTGCCCGCTGTGTGGTGCTGACATAGAGAAGATTGAGCCTGACACAGATCTTCAGGTTGTTGTTGATCGTTTCATTGATGGGCATGCAAGAATCAAGAGGTCGCATGGCAATGCAGATGCAACGGAAGTAAAAGATGTACCTAAGACTGTAATCTATGGTGATGTTTCTATGGAGCGAGGTGCTTTTCTAGTGCAACAAGCTATGAGGGTGAGTGGAAAATATCGTTGGCTATATAACTGTGTGTTCCAGGGCTATAGGTTCCTTTACATTGCATCATGCTTAATTAAAGTTGGTCATTTCAATTTTTCTACCCTTTTTCCTAGCATACCGAAATGCACCTAATTGCTTCGTCTTAAAACTATGTTGCCCTAGTTTTGCCCTTGCTAGGAATTTGATAGCCGTTGTAGGGGTTTCACATCCAGTTGGAGGTTGTAAAATCCTTTCAGGACCTTGTGTAAAACGATTTACAGGAAAAATTCTGAATGATAAATTGATGATTTCTTTATTAATGCTTAATGTTTTTAGATGTCACAAGGAATTATATTTTATCTGGTGAAGTGTGTAACTTTATGGCACACATCATCTGCAGGCCTTCCGTGGAAAAAATATAGAGAGTGCTAAGTCAAGACTAAGTATCTGTGCAGAGGATATCAGGGATCAGTTGCAGACATCAGGTGATACACCCGACTTATGTTCACAGCTTGGAGCTGTCCTAGGACTGCTAGGGGATTGCTGGTGTGTTTTTCTATGCCCTTAGCTTGTCTATTCTGTATTTTGCAAGTGTGCACTGTAGGAACGGTTTTTGACATATCAGAAACTTTTTGTTTGTTCATGATGAAGTCTTATTTATGGTATTTTATGATGCATTTTCAAGTATAATAATTGACGATCTAGTTTTGGAACTTTTTTCTTCCGAAGTTACATTACATGTATGCATGTTATTCATAATTATGTTTAGCGAGGCTTTAGTGAGCAGAAATGGTGTGTGGGTGGTGGTGTCATCAAATGGATATGCAATCCTATCTAGATCATTTAGATATATATGATTAAGAGAACTGTAATTCGAGTACAAGCATATGGGACTACCAAGAAGGAAATTGTTGTCACGGAGACCACTCAAACTTAGTGTAAACAAGGAATGATGTGGTGAACTCAATTATGTTTGCTTTGCTTTTTTTCCAAAACAAATTATTATTTGTTTGACAATCTTTGACCTCGGAATTGTGTTTGCGACTTCCATCTTCTCCTCATACTAAATCCACTTGGCATGTAACCACAGCTCCATATTCCCTTCTTTTGTTATACAAGTCGTGCATTGCTGATCAACATCTGTAACATATCCTTGGGCCTGCAGTCGAGCAATGGGGGATGCTAGTTCAGCTGTTGGTTACTATGAAGAGAGTGTGGAATTCCTCTCAAAGCTGCCTGCCAAAGATCTTGAGGTTGTTATTTCTAGTTTTGATTAAATGTTGAGTAACTGAAAATATCATATATGAATCCCGGCTTGATGTTTATTTGAGCATTTGAAACAAGCTTCTTTTTTGTAGTTGGTGCATACACTGTCTGTTTCATTAAATAAAATAGGAGATCTTAGATACTATGATGGAGACCTGCAATCGGCAAGAAGTTACTATGCAAAGTCTTTGGATGTTCGTCGAAATGCAGTCAAAGAGCACACAAATTTGTCTTCCCAGGTTAGCAATTATTTTGTTGGCTTAGGCTCTCCTCTTTTGTCTTGCTTTGAGGAACTAACACGTGCATGCATGCATAGGTAATTTAAATAATTATTTCTGTTCTTTCAGATTAAAGCCATCTAAATTGTGACTTAACGTCAAACATTATGAAAGTAGACAAGAGTAGTACGTTTTTATACTGAACTTGATTATTTTTCTGTTTAACATTAGTTAGCAGGATTGGGAAATGCGGTTGTCATTGATAGTATGGGATTCCAGTTTGATGGAATCTTCTGAATCAGACTGTGGGATCTTTTTTTCTTTCTTATTTTATGCATCTGGATATCGGCCATGATAAATCATAGATTAGTTGGAAATTGGCCAGAAGAAATTGGCTCACAATCATCGTGATCGACTTGAATTGGACCATCCGTGAGTATCGTTTGGAGTTTGGACTGCCTTGATTGATGGGAACTCGTCTGAGATCAGTTACGTCAGTCAATTCTGATACATCCTGCTAATCCTTTTAAAAACCAGGGGGTCAGGATCTGACATGGCTGGTTGATCATGCATACCGCATTAGTTATCACCCTTGTCGATATAAGCCCAGTTTGAGGTGCACAAATTTCTGTCACATAAAAGTAACAGAATTAAATTACTCATTTCTGCTAAAATTATTTGTGTGGACCTCTTTTATAATCAGGGTTTTTTTTGTTGTTGTAAAATAATGTGAATGACATATTATAACTAAATCGGTACCTTTTCTATTATAACATAATATAATGTGGACCTCATTTCCTTGGAGCAGGTTAATTAGTTTTCTGTAGCATCACTGTTTAACTTTGCTTAATTCTCCAGCTTATCTATGAAGTGGCTAAATTCTTTGTAGGTTGTTGATCTGGCAATTTCTCTTGCCAAAGTTGCGGACGTGGATAGGAATCTGGGAAATGAGGATGTGGCAATAGACGGATTTAAGGAAGCAATAAGTTGGCTAGAATCCTTGAAGCTGGAACCCAGTGAAGCTGGATTAGAACAAAGGGTAGTTAGTTTTTATCCGCTTTTCACCTTCCATTCAACTCATGTTGGTTCTGATGTTCTTGGCCTCTCCCCCACTCATTGCAGCGTCAATCGGTGCTGGAATTCCTGAGCAACCAACTTGCAGAAAAAGAACCTCAACAACCTGTTGCTACCGTGTGACAAAAGGCCTCTTTATTATGTCCACCGAATCTACTGCATAGAGAAGAACAACGCGTAGCTGCTACCTGACACCTTTGTGCTGTGCATTTCTGGATTGATCAGGTGGGCTTGACACAAAACTACTAGATGGGCTCTGTCTCTATGTGGTGCATATATCTTGTTTGGTTTGTGGGCCTGTGATTTGGGTGTATACAACGAAAAGGGCCGAAATATCATGTTATTATTATGTGCCTAAAGTGTTTCCCTGGAATTTTAATAAACTTTGATTTTGATGATAACTGTAGTTGGTGGTTGATCATCCTTAGTAAGAAAACAAAGGAAAAGCATGCCCTGCCCCGGCCAGCCAGCCAGCAATCTGTACTGACAAGGATTGTGCAAATTTATTGGAGTGCCTAAAAGGCCTACAACTTTATTCCCATTCCTCTCATCGCTTTGTCAAAATGTGCTACCAAATGCATTACAGAAAACGACTCCTCACCAACACCCTCGTCCTGGATTTTCATGTAAGTAGGATCAAAATAAGTCTGTCTAATTCCTCCCGGGGGATGGACTTTGAGATCTTGACGCAGGCCTCGAGAAGAATGGCCTGCGTGAGAGAGTTCTCACATAGTTTATTGTCGACGGATGATAGATAGAGATTAAGGGCATCAGCTAAAGGCTCTCCACTTTTGATAAAAAAAAGGGATTGATTACCTGAAAGATATGCACAAAGAAATCATTCATGCAGATGGAATCATGAGCTAGCTAGCAAAAGCAGATAAAGTGGAATTATGTCCACCTAAAAAGCACAAAACATTACATTATTAACTATCTTATCTAAAGAAAAGAAAAAGAAGAAGAGGAGAGAGAGAGAGAGAGAGAGAGAGAGAGAGAGAAGTGAGCTTCCATTGTCAAATCTTACTGAAAGAAAGCCTCCACAGGATGGGAAATGAGTTGTCTGCAGTACTCGGGCTGGCTGTGTTCTCTCACCCAGCCAAAAAGACTGCAGCTTTCTTCCACCCACCCACCCACCCACCTCCCTCTCCCCTCCCCTCCCTGGAGGACAGGAATAAAAGAAGAGAGAAGGAAGAAAGAAAAGCTACAGCTATTTTTGGCCGTAAAGTTCGGGTGTGACTTGCAATCCAGCTGATGCCCACATGGGAGGTTGGTTTGGCTCCTCCAGAAAACTTTCTCACCTTTTTCTAGTTAATGTTGTGCTCTGGTTACCCAAAAAAGTTGTTCCATTGGGTACCAACTCTTCTGGTCAATCAATAACAGAGAAAGCATCCACAGGAACTCCTCTTCTCCAATCCGTCGTCGAAGAGTATGTGGCTGCCAGGTGTAATGCTGACCATGAGAAGGGACCGGAAAGGTGAGAGATGGGAATCACCTTAAAGAATTCGATTGGTTTCATAGAACCTTAACAGAGGGGAGAGGAGGGGTTTTTAACTCCATAATTGTTTTTATTTCTGGTCTGACCATTCATGTTCCTGAATTATATATATGTTATGTACTGGAAGTAGGCCTTTCTACAGGATCTGGACAATGACTAGTAAGTAATCTTACGCTCTGTAAATCCTTGTCTAGATCTGGCACAGTGCTGCTTCTCTTGGCATTTTACTCTTATGATTGTTGCTCTTGTTAGCTTTTATCCCTTCTGATAGCTCTAGTTTCTGCAGCTGGGAGAGGTGGTGCCAAGGACACAGACTGACATCGTCACATGGTGCTGAATCAGTGGAGAGGCTTTGGTGGGGTTGGGAGATCCAGCTCAATCATGGCACCTTGGAGGAGCAGTATCTCTGCCTGTGAGGTATATCTCCACTACCTTGTTGATTCATTATGGCATGAAACTCCCACTAGCAAAAGGATTCCATGGATGGAGCCACCTCTCCATGCAGAAGCTTTTCGGAGAAATCTGAAACTTTCCAATCTTTTTTCTCTCGTTAAAGGGGGAAGAGAGGTAAGAAAAGGTATGAAAGGAGGTCAGTGATACAGATAACAAAAAGTGATGCGAGAGCAGAAGCAGAACGAGAGAGAGAGAGAGAGAGAGAGAGAGAGAGAGAGAGAGAGAGAGAGA